GTACTAAAGTTGTACTACAAAGTCGCCAGTTCTCAGGTTCCAGCTCCCAGCAGAGGTTGAGAGACCTCATAGGACATCCTATCTGGCCTTGGCCCCGATAGTACATTCAGTCCTTATAGGACATCATGTTCTTGAGCCAGGGTCAGCGAAAGGATCCGGAGGATCATAAAGAAAAACAACCAAGAACACATGGTCTAGCAAAAGGATCCGGAGGATCATAAACAAAACCACTCAAAAACACAACTTCATGCACACTTCCATTCAAAAATTCTGCATCGCACTTTTCACTTCAAGTGCCAACAAGCCATCGTAGGCACACACAGATGTTGTACCGGTCTAATGCCCTTAGGGAAAAGACACATGGATGCACGCCAGTCAGTATCGACTTTACACGGCGGATCATGTCTTCGTCGAGCATGCATCCATAGTAGCGTGGATTGCCCCTTGTGGGCAGGAAATCGAAAATCAAGTGCTCCAAGCTGTGCATCTTAGGCCGCACTGGAAAGAGAAGGCGTCCATTATTCAATGCCCAATTTGACAATCCTGAGACCAACCGCTAGTCTTAGGACAAAATATTCAAGGTTCTCCCGCTCAAACATGCAACTAAGGTTCTGTTGTAATGAACCCGGTACTGCATGTACCAAGTTTCACACGCACCAACCACATTCTCTGGCATTGGGCCAGCCTTGTGTTCATTGAACGCTGTGAACATCTTGGCAAAGCAGTGGAATACAATTTCCAGCCACCTTGAACAGATGCAAAGGCAGCCAAAATGCAAACAACAGATATTTCACCTGTATGGTGGGCAAAGCAGTCGAAATGCACACAAACTTTTATTGCTAGCCTTGCCTGTGCACATCCGTTGGAAACTTGCGCGCAATTTGCGCTGACAGCAGCGTCATGAAGAATACCATAACACGGCTCGAAGCACCATTGATCTTCTTTTGACCAATTGATGGGTATGCAGATTTCTTTGGCTGAATGGTCTGTGTTTGGAAAAGGATAGAACGAGCACGACTTCCATGAGGAATTCCTCAGAACAAACACAAATTGCACAATGTGTAAAACATTGTAAAACCATGTGGTCATACATGTGACGCTTCAAAAATGTGGTGCGAAACGATCATTCCAAGTTTCGGTTCTCGTGACACCAGCTAGCATATTCTTCGAAGATTGCATTCAATCGGTCGTCGCGCGTTCTTCCTTCAAACACTTCATTGTTGTCAGTGTATATCATCAGTGCCGAGGAGTCGAGGTCAATAAGGATGGTAAGGTCCACGATATGTGAAGTATATCTGGATAAATACCTACAGTCCGTTTATCTCACAACCATGTTTGAGTCCATGGATTTGATTTCCAAAGTTGTTCCATTGAAAGAATTAACACTGCAGCTGGATTGCGAAAGTGGTTGAATCCCCTGACTTGAGTTAATGGTGTGGATCCATTGGTGTTGATGAAGCTGTCCACGGAAGTCAACCTTAAGAAAAAAGTACGCTTCCAAGGCGACCCCTGCAAGAACATTGATTTTGTAGAAAATATAACTAACGCATGAACCATGATCTGCCGCTATGCATGGTGTGCTGCCTTGGAGCTCGTTCCTGTATGCGGCGTCTCGGCCAAAATTTGTGTACAGCCGTTCATCGTATTGGCCTCTATTTTCTTCAGGCCCCTCAAGATTGCTGATAGCGCTGCAGTGGTAGCAGCACTGACGGTGTCTATAGGATCCTTATTTGGACTCATGAGGCCCGCAACGAATGTTTTCCCCACAGCCCCAGAAAAGTCTTTCTGTCCCTTTTGGTGACAAACATGTGTTATTTTGTTTGGAGGGGCATATCCTTTATTGGTTGTGGTCCACGTTCCTTTTTGTAGGGTGTCTTTGGGAGGTCCATTCAAACAAAGAAAACACCGAGTTGAACACCAAAGGACGCTTCAGATGGAAAATGTGGGCTATCCAATCTGCATCTCCCATCACTCCATCCAAAATGAAGCGGAAAGACCCAGCAATTCGCTGGCCAGCCAGCCTTTTCCGATGTGGATGGTAGGCATCACTAAATTCCTGGCCCCACGGATCAGCATCAGGAAAGATACCAAGTCCTTAGCAAGGCTTTCTACAGGAAAGGGTAACCTAGGTTTGCGCCATTGTGCATTCAAACCTA